TACACATGGGGCGCCAGTGCGAATGCTGTAGTGTGTCTGCGAGCAGGATAGGCAGTGACACAGGAATGTGTCATAGTTCCTGCAAGCCACTCAGCTCCTAAACTGCAGCAAATAAACATTCCTCTACTGCTGTGTCAGTGCTGAGCCCTCGCCCACTGTCGCTGTAAAACACAGCTTGTAATTAAAACCAAAAACTGAGCATTTCTCCCTTTGTTTCCAGCAGTATTACTAGTTGAGAGATAATGGCCCCATGCCTTCAGACATTTCTCTGTGCTGTTTATTGACTCAAAGACAGCATGTTGTGGTCCAGATGATATCAAGGTGGGCCAACCGACAGTAAAACATCAGACTCATCTTTATTGGTTAAGTGCAGAAACAGTAATTCTGACTTGCTGTGGTTAGTCATATTTCATTATCTCACATCTACGCAAATACAACAGTAAGATACCACTGTTGAAAAACATCGCACATTTTGACAGTTTGAGATCCATTTGGATGAAGAAAAGTGTTGACATTCAATATAGCTGGACACATATTGCTGTCATTTATCACTGACTAGTCTGTTTTGATTTGAATAAATGCAGGCTTCATCCGTGCTGACAGGTGAAATGATGTGCAGGCTTATGCTGTGTCACATAGATTCCACCACGGTTTGTGCTTATATTTCATGTGGATCTCAGAGCTGGAACGTTGCCGTGCTGTACCCATACATTGTCAGATGTCTGTAAACATATTCTACTGTAGGTTGTCCTTTGCCCAACGTCTTTCCCTGTCATTACAGCTCTGTTTACAGGAGGAATAACAGTGTTTGCTAGCACATGATCTCCCCCAGAATATACAGCGGTCTAAAGTCGCACTCTGACGCACAGTTTTCCACCTAAAACACTTAATTCCTGTGGAACCGATTTTGACATGTCACTTCATCTGTTTGTTGTCTCTTGTCTGCTCTTGCCAGGTTAACCATTCACAGATGCGTGATTGGGGATTTTAACCTTTTTCATGTTGGATAACTACTGCCTTTTCATTCCAATGTTTTGGTCAAACGGTACTTAAAGCTGACCATTTAGTGTTTGCAATAGACTGAAGACCACTTTTAGGTATTTAGAGGTGATGTTGCATGGCAAAGAGGTGTTTATCTCAGCAGTCTTGAGGTTTAGAAAGTATTTAATATCAACAAAAAATGGGCCAACAGAGTAAAAGGCCATCAAGCCAAGCTCTCCATCTCGCTCCACAGGGGCGCAGAGCCTGACCACAGACATCGTACTGATTGCTCACCATCGCCGAGTGGTCTGTCCACATTCCCACCCTGATTCACTGTGTGCAGAAAACCCAACAACGGAAAACGGTGGTTTGAGAGTGTCTGGAGGTTTGCGGACAGAAGTGAGTGTTCGCTGTGTCCCTCCTAAATCCATCCTCCTCTCATCCCCTTCCACCGGCCAGCTGCATACCCCGGGAACATGGGAACAGTTAAGGGCAGACCCAAAACGGATGTGTGTGGAATGTTTTGGACTTGAAGGGAGAGGATAAAAAAAAAAAGAGAGGACACTTGAGTCAGTGTACGCATGCTGGGATGAATTTAAACTTCCCTCTCTCCCGTATGTGACAGGTTGTGGCAGGCCGGTAGATGATGAAGTGATGGAGATGTTAGGAGGCCACGGCCATTGTGATGCTGGGTGGCTGTTACTCTGGAACTGCCATCTGCCGAAAAGGTCAGTTGCTAGGGGACGATTCTCCTGGACCGTGTCTGCCTCCCAGCTGCCATCCACACACCCACACACACTGGCTTGAGTACGCACACAAACTCACACAAACACTTACACATTTGCACTATCACACTCTTTTTATTCTTTTCTAGAAACCTGAATTGAATTTGAGTAAATTTGACCCACTGTGTTCACCGTTATTAATCCACTCTGTAGTTTTCTGTAACTTTAGGGTAGGTTTAGTTGAATATAATCCTTTATGTGATATGTGTGTGATGAGGCTGTAAATACATATCTTGGGACATAATAGCCCAAACAAATGAGGGTGTTCCCATCAAACAATGCCTTAATTAATTGGAACTTGGCCACATTTGAATGCTGGGATTACAATGAAATGTTGAGGCTGCACGGAAATCAAATCAGGATTGAGTGCCAAATACAAGCCATGCCACATTGTCCATTACAACCACAGTGAGCAGCCTATCATTCAGTGCGGTGATCCAAACACAAATCTAAATTCCTTATCATACGCCATTCATATTAAAGGCAACTCCACCCAACAGGCAAACATTTTTCCACAATTTAGCAGGAATTCTAATATGAAGCTGCTGTGTCGCCATTATGCCATATCGTCTTCTCTGCATGTTCTGTGGTGACTGACCTGATTATTGTAAGGAGCCCAATGACGTGAAAACTTTTTCCTTTCTCAAGCTTAAAATCATGAACGTTGTATTTTAAAGTGACACACTCAGGTCAAATCGAGTGTGGCTGCATTTCTTAGCATCAAGTAACTTAACCCTGTACCCCTGTTATGTTGCTCCTGAAGTTAAGGGTCCTATAAAGACAGCATCACAAAGCTTTTTGCTAATAGATGGGAAAAAGATTTATCCCAAAAGGAAATTGACCGAGTAACAATTAGAAAGCCCCAGGAGCAAGCGACTGGATGTCAGTGTGTTATTAGATATTGGCGATACAGTAACAGACTGGATTTTGTGGCATTTTTATCCTTCCTATCACACTTTACTGCTCTCCTTCCCTTTGCCCCCCCCTCCTCACGCCCTCACCTCCACCCTGTGCCTCTCCACCAGCCTTCCAGAGACAGTGACTTTTGTGTTGTTGAGCTGTTGTTTTTGTTTGTGCCCTTCTCACCATGGCTGCCTGCTCGCCGCCTGGCAGCCCCTTGTGTCAAAGGTGGCTGCAGCAGAACAGACTGTGGGAACAGCCGGTTAGCCTCCTCTGGTCCCCTGCTCCCTAACCAGAGGGGCAGCCATCAATCCAGCACTCCCCCTGCCCCTGAACACACAAAATGCCCAACCAAACACACACTCACACAAAAAGCCTACAACGCTCACACCCTCTCCCAATAATCCTCGGAAGCAATTTCATCTCGACTCGGGTGGCGGCCCATTGTCGCCAGCCCCTTCAATCTTTCCTTATTAACTCTCGCTTTGTCCCGCATCCGAGCTTCTGGACTCATCTCTCCTACATTCCGATCGGTGCTGCTCCCAGCACTCCCAGGCAACCTCCATTCGCTAATCCCACTGCCTCCCCCACCAGCTGCCCCACCCCAAGGAACTCTTACTGCTTCTTTTTTTCCCAACCTGCCGATCACCTACTTACAGAGTAAGGTAGGGGCATTAACTCCATGGGTTTTCTGAAGGCAGAGTGTGAAGGCGGGGTGGGTGAAGGAGGAGGCGGCCACAAAGTGACTCCAGCCCAGACAATTAGAACAATGAGCTGGGCCTGTAGGGGGCTAACTCGCTGCGTCACGCCTGGACGGTGGGGTATTTTGTCAGTTTAATGAATTGTCCGTCAGGCCAGGGCCACATTGCAGGCTGCGCAGGGAGAGGCCAGCAGGGACCCAGACACTAAGTCGGTATTTATTACACTGCCTTTGTCACTAATTGAGCTAATTATCACTGACTCCTCAGCACTCCCACAGGCAGAACCCCCTCCACTCACTCTCTCCACCAACTCTCCCACCTCACTCTCACGCCTGGGATTTGAACTCTGCCTTCCCTCCTCTTTTCTTAAATCTGTCTGCCACTTTCTCTTTCTTTTGTTTCTCTCTGTGTCCACGATCGCCTATCAATTCTCTCTCAAGCCAGGATTTTATCGTTTTCACATTTGTGAGCTTTTGCTTTCTCCTGACTTTTTCTCCATTTGTCACATACTTTAATCCAAATCATGTGTTCACCTGTTATCCAGTCATACAAGACAGAACATTTCGTTTTGGAGGACTCAGATGTGTTACCCTGTGATCAAGATACATTTTAAGTTCTCATCTTTTTGTTTTGGTAGGTCTTATGTGACCTCATGCATCATTTGCAGTATTTTGATTCAGTTTGCTCTGTTTTTGTTGTTGTTTTTTAAACCCACTAGGTCTACATATTTAAACTTTCTACTTTCTTTGAGCTGTGGACCATTCTCAAGTTATTATTCATTACTTAACGTCTTTGCGGCAGGCAAAGGAGTCCTTTGTGATGTCTAATTTTTACCCCGTAACATCAAGACTGTAATTCGGAAAGTTTCTCGTCCCTGTCGTACTATGTCACCCTGTCTGCTCTTACATCTACAACTTTGCTGCTCTGTTATTAGGACCTTTGGATCTTTGGGTGCGTGTTGGTGTTCTCACTGTGCTCTATCTGGATGACCATGGCTGCTCCTGTGCTGTGGTGAGCTAAGTAGAAAGTGTTAAGCTTTCCAAACTCCCGTTAGTCAGTGGTTTGGGTCGTGGTTATTCAGGTTGCCAGGGGCTGGGGGAGAGGTTTTCATTATTTTTCAGTCTATTTCTCTATTTCTTTCCAGCATTAAGCAAATAAAGCTAAACATGAAATGCAGTAAAAACCTATACTGTATAAAATAAGGTATGTGGCTGGATAAGCAGGGGCCATCTCTTGTGGTTGGGAGCACAGATGCAGGGATGTTTTGTGAGCCAGAGAAAGAGGCTGCTTTGGTGGTGGTAATAGGATTAAGCAAAGGACACCCAGGGACAGGCTTATATGTTCACTTGGTTGGTTGTCAAAACTATCTCAAACACAGACTACAACAGACATAATAGCATCTTTTGACACATTCAGGAGGGCAACTTAATTGAAAATATAGACTTTATTGTTCTATCATACAATACAAAACCAACTGGAGCCTAAATCTTTTGATTAAAATCTAAAAAAAAAAAGTCTTCTCTTACATCTCACTATAACAGTATAAAAATCCTTAGAAATAAATATTTTGTATTTACACGAATAAAAAAGGTAAATATTCAGTGCATGAACACAAGTGTTTTACAGGAAACAAGCAAAGACGTGATAATGTTTTGTTTCTAGTATATAAGAGATATTTTGTGTGAGCTACATTACACCAAAATAGAAAAAGGCATAAGATCTAAAACAACTCCTGACTTGACACTAATGATAGTATATTCTCCAGCCACTGACAGGTGCATAAATCATTCAGAAAACATACAAATTACGTCATTATAAATATATTCATATATTTTAATATTTACAGTATTTTGGTTATCATAGCTGATATTCAGAATGATCTCTGACAGCAGAGGCTGTTTTCGGCAAAGAAAAATGTTATCTGCTTTTTACATCCTATCCTGAAGTAAAACACATAGTATACGCCTACTCTAAACCTGGACCAGTTTAATGCAACACTCATGTATTAACAGAAATTTTGTGTTGTTTTTTTTAACTTCAATGCCATCTCAGAATGGCATTAGTTTTCATTTTGAGAGCATGGTGAGATTCTGCAGGTCACATTTCATTTTCAATATTGATCCCTCTGATCAAGTCATGTAATTATATTCAGTGTATTTATAATACATTCAAATTACATTGCCTCAGTAAGATTTTTCAATCAGTTTCTATTTTCCTTGTAACATCAGGACCATCCTGTGGTCAATCATGGTGGCAAATCAGGGTTGAGGTTTATTCAGCTCCCATCAAATTTAAATAAAATGGGCAAATGTGATGAAGAAATTATAAGTGGTCGGGCTGCATCCAGGGCCTAAGTACACAAGTTGAGAAAAGACAGCCCATCCCTAGAGATAAACTTCACACAGTTTCATGTGAGAGGATCCAACATTCAGCAAAGAAAAAAAAACAATGATTTAAAAGAACACAAAAAACTTCCCTCTTGTTAGAGGTCTTCACCAGTTTAGGAGAGCCCACTGTTTGTGGCTCTCTGGCCACAGAAACATCTGTGAAACATTGTGCCCAGTCTCTGCCCTCAGTGGAGGAGAAGAAGGCTCTAGTAGTACCTGGTTACAGCAATCGATTCATCACCACATCATTTCGCCCCTTTACTAATTTTATGTTTCCACAGTGTAAACACTTGAGGGATGCGGATGATTTCCATTCTACATTGATGGCTGGAGTGTCTAAATTTCCTCTTAATGCTGTTAAGCATCAAAGGAAAGTTGCAAGCACATCTACTACCTCCATACCCTGTTCATATATTTGTGCTTTTCTTCATCTCCCTCTTTCAAAAACTGATTTTTTTTTTGGAGAGAATTCCCTGTATTAGTTTACCCGCCTTGAAGCTTTTCTAGCTTCTAACATCTCAAACCACCTGTGTTCTAGTGGCTTTCTCAGCCAATTGCCAATCAAATATGCATTAATATTCCATTGATGTCCACCTGTGATCATAAACACTGGTGTAATGTCCGTGTACTGGTGCAGTTCAAGCAGCTGACATGACAGCACCAGTGGAAGGTGCAGTTGCAACGTTCAGTCACACTCTCAGTCCGGGTCTTAAACCCACGTCCACAGCAGAGCAGCTCACATCCGTCCAGGCCTGGAGAAGAGCTGTTGCATGTTCTCCCAGAAGTTCCCAAAGTGCCAGTTTTGCCGTTGTAGGAGCAGAAGTTTGGTGATTTCTCAAAATAGACCAGGTCCATGGCAGAGGGGGGTTTGTGAGCCGGGTTTTCAGGCTCCAAGTGTCGGGGGTCGGCTCGGTGAGAAGCACGGTTGCTTCCCTTGTTGGCATAAACAACTCTGGATGCACCATCAAACCGGTCCTTAAGAAAGTCTGCCACTGTGCGGAAGCTGGGCAGGCGCATCCAACAGGTGCGCACGGTGCAGGAGCCTGACATGCCATGGCACTTACACTCCTGACGCATCTCTGATGACACAGTCTGCAAATAGGAAGACCAATGAAATCATACAAAGGGGAAATCACAAATGCATTTGAAGCTTTTGGGAATTCTGACAAAAACAGCCAATTGTGGCATGTTTGAATATCAAATCCTTACCATTCTGCCAGCCTCATTATTGTGTATGTTGGTGAGGTAGCGCAGATCTCTGCCCCTCTCACTGGAGTCCACAAACTCACGGCTGAACATCCGGCCAAAGTCTACGTTGTCACTGCAGCCCCCCCAGTGCCAATCTGGTCCTCCAGGACCTCTGCGGCGGTAATCGCATGTGCACGACTCGATGGCCCCTTCTGAGCAGGAGCGAGCCACAGCGTGGGTCACCCCTGCGCTGGTAATGGCAAATACAAATGCAGTCTCTCTGCAACCTGAAGAAACAACATCAAAACTTCCCATCAGAGCCAATTCCAGCCTTTGGCTATGGCTTTGCCAATTTTTTGCCCAAAATTTGAAAAAAATTCATGACAAAGCCTATTAAATGTAGACAAACGATTCCATTACATCCTGGCCAAAATTGCCCAAATAATGCCTGGTATGAAAGACAAGAGAGGCTCACCACGATTTACAATTTTCCCAAAAACTGCTGGGCTGTGGGTGGTCGGGCAGTTCCAGCGGCGGTTGCGGAACTGCCACTTGCACTCCTTTATGGCAGTGTGCAGCCCAGCGGCGATGGCGTGCAAGATGCCAGGGTTCTGCCGAATCAGCCGGCGCTGGCGACGACTCAGCAGGGCCAGGCTCGGGTCCAGGACCAACTGCACGTTCTTGGAATTGGTAAGGAGGTTGGATGAGGAGGCCACATTGACAATACCCCTGGCACAACAAAAGGACAAAGCCAATCAGAGTCAAGGAGCTGGCAGTTATTGCTCATAGCTACTTCAGTGACCCTCTAAACTCTTAAACTGGTGTGTCTTGGCATCTCATGTGTATCAAAAAAAAATGTAATTACTGTTTTCATTATTTAAAACTGTGGCATAACAGTGTTTCAAGACAATGAGGAGACGGTGAGTCTCTGAGTCTGAATGCAGGTTTGTTTGGCAAATAACATTAAACTCAATTTTTACCTCTTCATAAATCCTTTGGATCCGAACCAGATATAATGACGTATTAGTTTCATTATTAGAACTTGTAGTCATATTTTTCTGCTAAATATTCAGCATCTGTTATATTGTCATATAGCTCAGTGGAAATCCTCTCTCACAGGTTTGCATCTGTGTTGTTCTGTGAAAATGATTCTCTTGTGATAAACCAAAAGCTGAAGAGAAGTCGTTTCCACTTTTAGATTAAAATGTCCAATCTCACCTGCAAATATGATGATCTTGTCAAAATGTCCCAAGTCACTAAACATTAGGCCTTTAGGTTTGTATGCTGTAAATGTAAAATGCTCTCCGCCAAAAAGCAAATTCATATTCTGTAGACTTTATGTCACTTAGTTTTTATCATATTAATTAATAACTCAAAGTATGTTGTCCCTTTGCTACATGATATCAGAAAATATTCTGGTATTTGGTTTTATAACCGTTTGTGTCCATATATAATGCACCTGTACTTCTCCAGTCACAGTAATCCAGTTTTGGTGGTCAGGTTTCAGAATATTTCTAGTGTTTGAGTACACTGGTTGCTATATCATTTTTCACTTTGTCTGTTGGTATTATCTGTGAGATCTGTGTAGTGTAGCCTAATGGCTGTGTCTCCTGTTGAGCATTATCATTTGGAAAAACGGGCGAGTCTCGGCCTGTTAGAGGGCTGACCCAGACAGTTGTGTGGTGAGGCCTGGGAACATTAACAATAATGTCGTCTTTTTGGATGTTTTTCTTCATTCCAGCTACTCCGCGGTGTATTTTTTTTCCCCTCTCCTAGTTTTCTTGGATTTCAGCTGACATTTTAAATATTTGAAATCGTCTGACGTTGTGCGCAAATCCATCTAATGGCACCGCAAAAACGACAAAAAAAGAGCTTTCGTAAAAGCATTACCAAAACAAACCCAGCCCACAGTTTATAGAGTTTTAAACAAAAGCGAGACAATATGCTGCACTGATGCAACACTATACAGATATGTAACAAAATAGAGTGGAATTGGCAGCTGTAGTTGATGTGTAATGTAGAACGATGGAGAAGACCTCATATGGGATACTTTTCAGCCAATAAAAAAATCCGTATTTATCCCACATTGGACTGAGAAAGAGAGAGTAAATGTAATATATACCGCAAATAAGGTAAACCTGTTGTTATAGGCCAATTACAAATGTAATTATTTGATTGTTAAATAGATAGTCGACTGACTAATTCCACTCAACCGACAACAAATTTGAAGAAAAATAAATCCCACAAGCTTTAATATCATGCGGTTTTTCTTTCTTTCAAAGGTTGAACAGAACTTGCTAACGGTGCCAAAACTAACACATTATTTCGAGCATGCAGCATGGAATGTGCCCGCCCAATGAAACACCGCTCAAACCGGCGTGCAATAGAACGTGTTCAATGGTAGGATGCTGATAACTGAATAAATGTACGATATCTAGATATTTGTGAACTCACCACCACCGGCCGCTGTTGTTTACGGCCCCTGTGCCTGAGAGCGAAGACACCAGCAGGATGCAGGCGGCTTTCACCCCCAACAGCAGCGCCAGACTCCTCATCGTTGCTTCAGGTCAAATATGAGGAGTGAAGTGTCAAATGGAGTTTGCTCGGGCAAAGTTATAGCCTAGTTCTACATATCTTTGATAGTTATTCATCTGAACACCGGAACACAAATAACCGCATTTTATAACAAATTCAACTACAATAAACCGTCAGCCTGTAAGCGAGAAAAATAAGACAGAAGTCTGGCAGTGATAATGTATTTTATCATTATGTTCTACTGAATTATGATAAACTTGCTGTAAGGTGTAAATACTCACCACGCCACAGTCCGGTGATAGGACTTGAAAGGTGAGAGAAGCAGGCAGCCCTAATTGACTTAAATGGATCTTGAGTGGAGACAGGTTGCTAAATGATGTGAAGTGTCCAGACAGGATGCTACTGCTGCTGCAGTCCTCTTCACTCTGTCTCTCTCAGTGATGCTCTGCACGGCGCATTGAACGCGTGGGACAGTCCCGAAGACTTGATCCCCTCGGTGACTGATAGGCAACACATTCTTCTGTTATTGAGCGCTACGAGGGGAATAAAAAAGGGATTTGCTGCTCTCATCTCCCTCTGTTTTTTTTTCGGAGCCTTTTCAATAGGATTGGAGGGAGGGATAGTTAATGCTCTTCATAGGGCGCACAATGAATAAGGAAACACAACTGGGCAGAAAGGAGAAAAGAAGAGAAAAAAAATAGAGCAATCCACAGAGTTGCGCACATTACTTGTGGAATCTCACGGTCATCACAGAATCGATTCCCTGTAAATGTGTGCGGCTGAGAGTATTTTCCCACTGGCCGTGCGCTTGCTTCCACATCCAGTCTTGCGGAAAGGAGAAGAGCCTCTGAAGCAGTGATGTGTTGGTACAGATGCTGTGGGTGCGCCCGATTTGGTGCTCCGTCGCTGCTCAAAGCTGGTGTCACGGTGAAATACAGTTACAGCGGAATATGAGCCATCTAAAACTGCCCTTTTTACCCGGTGGTTGGATTAGCCTACTCCCTAACCGCATCTCCTCCTCCTCTGTCCAAATGCGCTCTCAAAATGTGTAGTGACTGGACGTTTCTGTTCAGTTCGTTTCCTTTTTACATTAGTCCAATAGACATTAATGTTTTACGAGGGTATCTTAATATATGTACTATTTGATATTACTCCCAATAAACATAACTATTATCCTCAGCCCAAGCGCGCACATTCACAACGAAACTTGCATGTAGAAATTCGCAACTCGTACTGCCTGGTTACTTCATTATTTTTTTTTCGATCGTGGGAGAGATGAAGTACAGTCTCCAATCAGAAGTTTGGTGTATGATGAACCAGGAAAAGAGGGGGACGAGTAAGAATAAAAGCCACTCCAAACATCTGGCCTGCAGACCTCCCTCGATGCACATGTAGCCCAGTGTGATCAGAGCTTGAGCCACTTTGTGGCATCTCCATCTAACCCCACTTCAATGTCTGCAAACTTCTCTATGTTGGTTCATGGGGGAATGTTTCATTATGTGACATTTATCTGCTAATTTGCATGTTTCCACATTAGTCACTGCAGCGGTTGTAGTTTGAATAATCTCTCTCTCTCTCTCTCTCTCTCTCTCTCTCTCTCTCTCTCTCTCTCGCTCAGATGACAGTAAAAGGAAGTGGGCTTTTGTAAAAAGGATTTAATGACAGCCATCCTACGTTTAAACTCCAGCCTTATATGAAGGTGCTCAAACGAGTTTCCTGGAGCAGTCATGCGACACCGAGCAGATTAGAGCTTCAATCCGGATAAAGGGGGCCTTTTATATACAAATCAACTTCAAATCACTTTTTAAGCCACTTAGATATACACGCCAAGGCAGAATGCTAATGCACTTTTCATTGCTGCAGCTTAGGGAATGGAAGGAGATTAGATGAATTGGTGTCACTATGCGAACCGTGTTCGAGGGGGGTTTTAACTTAATTTTATGAAAGTATCCAATGCATTTTCTTGAGTCCAACAGCAGTGTTTATCACTATTTAAGGTTGGGTCTAGAAAACGTTTTTATGAGACATAATGACAGTCTCACTCTAATCTAAGAGTGATTGACCTGTTGATTCAGTATTATGCTAATCATCGATTCGATGCCGAGCTGCCACATCCACCACTAACCAAGTCCCAACAGAAGGCCTATCTGGTTTCATTGGCCTGTCATTACTGAGCATGAAAAACGTGGATAATTGAGATGCTGTTTGGTAGTCTTAAATATGCATAAGATGTATTTAAAAGCCTGCCCTACTTTCTATAAGCGTCACAAACCCATTTGAATGAATCAATGAAGTGTTATTTGCCACGTGAAATTTGCCGGAGCATGTGACGCCATAATGTGAATAATCACAAAAGCACAACAAATCTGACCTGTCACTATCGTAATTTATGTATATCATTTTATACTCTGAAATAAAGACTTTGGGGCGACAAAGTGAAGTTGTTTCAAACACAACAATGAGAAACAGGCGCTCTGATGGAGTGGAGGAAGGGGGACCACATGACTAAAAACAGTATTGTTGGAAGGTCTGTTAGCGGAGCCGCCTGCCTGCTGCTGCCTCCCTGTCGTACAGTGGAACCAGCAGCTCTCCCCTCCCCCCATTCATCATTTAACTCACCCCTTTATGAACAAAATCCACTTTGACTTTCCATATTTCATTTTACCGAGCGTTTCTTTGTTCTTTCTCTCCAAACGTGGAATTCGATACTACATAGGCTAATGTACAGGCCCACCAATAACAAGCTTAGTTTAAATACATTGATATTTTTATGTCCTAGCAATTATTTTTTAGAGGATCCAGTGTTTTAGATTATCTACCAAAACTTGAGACCATTATGCGCACAGCTTGCAGTGGTGCTTGTGCGTAAATGTTTGGAGACGTAATTTTACGCTTGGACGAATGATCACACTCTTAGACGATAAAACGATCAACTGGTGATCCAACTTTCATGTTGGCCAATATCTTGCAAACAGCCGCCTGTGGAGGCATCTCCTCCCCTCCCCTCTTTCTCTCCCCCTCCCGTTTACTCTCGCCCCCGAGCTCCTCTGTTCTCCGTCTTCACTCTTCGGTCGTTTGGCGGTGCATCGATAATACTCCACTCCTCTTCTTTTTGATATTCTTATCCAAAACAGGACTTTATTACTAGTGTTTTAATGTCACGTCGCGTAAGACGCTTAACAAAATGGAGCTATCAAACAAACTCCGTTGGGACCAATTCCTGATTTTGGCAGCAGCACTTATGTCACCTGCAATAACGTGAGTGCACTTGAGAGCCCCAGGAGAGTTGATGTTACACGCGGGTTCTTGCTACATGGAATTCGACAAGAGTTGAGGGAAGTTACTGTGTATGACTGAATGATTGAAACGAATATTTTATATATTTAGTTAAAAAGTAAACATCTGCCTCTGATTTCACAGGCTGATTCTGTGCAATATTGAAACATTGGATTCAATATTTACTAATTGTGTAGCCTTCTACAAGTCTGAGCTATGCCATTAAGAATTCAATATGAATCCCAGTATTATTTCTCCATAAGATGTCGTAACTGCAAGTAACTCCGCTTGTGGGACTTCACAGTTGGATGATCTGTTTAGAATTATGTTTTCCCTGCTTAAACATCTGTAGAAACTCTGTAGTAAATGCTTGTGCAATTGATTAACACATTTTATTGCTAAGTGTATTCAGCAAATAGAGAGATGCGATTCATTTCGAAGTATATCCATCTTAAATCTGGTTTTGTATTTTTCAGATTTTCTTAAGTATCCAAAGCATCTTTCCATTGTCACATACTTCTCTGGATTTGACAAATGAACTCCTGACCAGCTCTGATGACCCCCCCCCCCCCCCCCCAACACCCACCAACTCTCTCTCTCTCTCCCCCTCTCTTTCTCTCTCTCTCTGCAGGGTGCTGTGTAATGATATACTCAGCCTGAGGGTGGCAGGAGATCCAGTGCTAACCCCTAACTCAGTGTGCCTGAGGCTGGCAGGCCTCAGCAAACGTCAGATGCGGATGTGTGTGCGAAGCCCCGATGTGACGGCCTCCGCTCTGCAGGGCATCCAGGTGGCCATCCACGAATGCCAGCACCAGCTCCGGGATCAGCGCTGGAACTGCTCGTCACTGGAGGGCCTTGGCAAGCTTCCCCACCACAACACCATCCTCAACAGGGGTGAGAGCCTGAGGCAAGCTAATGGTGTTCAAAATGTGACCTGGGTGTATGGATGAGTGGAGTCAGGTATATGAGAGTTCTGTACACAAATGCAGGACTGTTTTACAGCTACACTGTTTGCCATTTTCAACTCTTTGAGTGTGTATCTTCTGCTCCCAGGTTTCCGCGAGAGTGCCTTCTCTCTGGCCTTGTTGGCAGCGGGTGTGGCTCACTCTGTGGCCTCGGCTTGCAGCATGGGCAAGCTGCGGGGCTGTGGCTGTGAGGCCAAGCGTCGCCAGGACGATGACAAGATCCGGCTGAAACTCACACAGTTGCAGCTGCAGACCCTGCAGAAGGGTGGAGTAGGCCTCGGCATGACACGATCATTACCCTCCGAGCTAAACGGTCATCATGGCGACCTGCCCGCTAACCTGCACTCCACCCACCCCTCCACCCTTCTCAAGCCATTACCAGATGACCTGAGCTCCAAGCAGGACACGTGGGAGTGGGGGGGCTGCAGTCATGACGTCCGTTTTGGGGACCGTTTTTCCAGGGACTGGCTCGACTCACGCGGGTCTCCAAGAGACATCCACGCTCGCATGAGGATACATAACAACCGAGTGGGACGACAGGTGAGTAATGTGCCTATCCACTGTGTTCTTCATGTTGCTTGGAGAGCAGAGTTAACCTCACTGGCAAACATGACTATCAGGGTCATTGTTGCATTTCTGATTTGTGACATCATTTCCCTTTCTCTACACAGATAGTGACTGACAACATGAAGAGGAAGTGCAAATGTCATGGCACATCAGGGAGCTGTCAGTTTAAGACCTGCTGGCATGTGTCTCCAGAGTTCCGGCTTGTGGGTTCTCTACTCAAGGAAAAGTTCCTGTCAGCCATCTTTGTCAACTCCCAGAACAAGAACAATGGGGTTTTCAACCCTCGGACAGGAAACGGCGCCAGCATGAGCGCAGGGGGATTTAACAGAGGCCCCCGTCGAACTATGTCCAGGGAGCTGGTGTTCTTTGAGAAGTCTCCTGATTTCTGTGAGCGTGATGCGTCCGCAGACTCTCCAGGTACACAAGGACGTATCTGCAACAAAACCAGCTACAGCACAGACAGCTGCGGCTCGCTGTGCTGTGGCCGCGGGCACAACATCCTAAAACAGACACGCAGCGAGCGCTGCAATTGCAGATTCCACTGGTGTTGCTACGTGCTGTGTGAGGAGTGTCGTCTCACAGAGTGGGTCAATGTGTGCAAGTAAATCCCAGTTCTTCCAGTCCCAGCTGCCTTTACCCATCCAGGACTCAAGATGGCGAGCCTGTCCCTTGGCCCACTCCTTTTGTTTGAGCGTTTGTTTTGCTCCTTGTGTAACTCTCCCAGCAAATCTGTTTATCCCCCCTGCTCCTTCTTTTTGGTCCATCATCTGGGATCTATTTTCTCTTTGTAGCCGCTGTTATTCTCAAAATGCCAAGTCAGAGATTGAAGAGGTGACTCATGTCATTTGTCTTACCACGGTCTGTTTAGACGCTGCCCTCTCAGCCATGAAAACTGCTTATAACCTATTCTATTCTATCCCACAAAACAAAGACGAGCCGAGAACCATTTCTATATCTACATGCGGACTCATCTCATTGTACAGTAGCTGTGTATTTTAATGTGTACATGTATATTTGTAAATGTATTATTATTAATATTATTATTGTGTTGGAGACTTTTTTGTTCTGACAGACTAGTGCTGGCCGAGTGGCTCCGGATGGTGAACCAGTGCTGTTAGACAACAAAGTCTCATTACAATGTATTACATTTAACTGGGCTCCTCTAATGATCTCCAAGGTACTTACTCCATTTGTATATTTTGCACCTGAGCCTCAGACAGAGCAACAATACTTATTTGGGGGTCCATCATAAAAACCTTTCTAGACAAGGGTTTTACTAATAGAAGAATACAAGATAAAGGACAGTGTTTTTTGTGTTTTCTTTAAGGACTGATCTGGACAGAGAGCTCATAAGCATATCAAAGCGGGTATAATTGTGCAACTCAAGATGGGAACGTTTTGAAGACAAATTTTGTCCTTTCAGCTGAAATACTTATCATTCTGATTTATTTACACCATTGTAACAATAGTAAGTACTTCGTGAGAGTGGGCACTATTGGTCATGTTTTTCGTGAATATAACTGTGATGTGTCACTTTTCCTATGAAACCATGACTGAGCTCTTGTTATTCTGTGCTTGCCTTTGTCCATTTCATCAGTCCGAGCACTCCTTAGATTCTTCCCACATGTAGTACATGTCAAAGTGAGAGATGGACTTGCTTTAGTCTTGAACGGATGCTGAAAGGTCTGTGTATGTGTGCGTGCCTGTTGCTGTGTGAATGGGGGTGGGGGGGGGACGACGACGACAAGTTCTACACACTACAGATTTGGGAGGTGAGAGCCTTTTTTATGGCCACTTCATGCTGAGAGAAGGACTTTTTATGGCTGCAGGATATTGTTTCTTTAAAGTATGACTTTTATTATTGGAGAGAAGCATCAAGAGAGCAGAGAGTGGGGGTGATTATACCAGTCTTTGCTGTGTGAGCGTCAGAGGGGATCATCTGTCCAGAGGAAGGGACTTGCTAAACCATGTGGGACATCGTGTCCCTGTTACCTGGGAGACATACTTCACAAATATAAACACATGCACCTAAACACATGCATGCATTTATGTAAAAAGACACTTACTTGTCGGAATACTGGCACCGACGCACAATCAAAATTATGAACTGTCAGACAGAACTCTGGGTGACCCGAATGATTTACACTTCCATTCTAGTTACGCTGCAGATTTAGCAAAACTTTCACGTCAACACCGACTGAATTTATGATTGCAGCATTCTTAGATATCTTAAATGATCCAAACTCCATGCTCTGTCTGCCATAGAGGATTTAATGCCAATTAAGTGTTGTTTGTATGGTCTTGACTCCTGAGGAATGGCAGTGCCAGTAGCTGAATTGACTGTTCTGTCTGTTTGGTATTTAGTGAGGGAATAAAAGCGAGACAGTGACTTGTATGGAATGATAAGGTAATGGATTTCTGGTTTTTATTTCTTCATTCCTTTATCATTTCACCCTGGAGCTGCTGCGAAGGGGAATTTCCTGTCACTGTTTCTCCCATGTGTGAGACAGAGGTTGTTGGACAGTCTGGGATTGGTTTCTTTCCCTCTCTGCTCTCTTTTTCTCTCTTTCCCATTCTCCCCCTCATCGCTGCAGACATAGACACATGCATAGCAACACATTGAGTGCCCCCCAGAGTAATGACAACCAGACTGGGCTGAAATTAAAGAGAGGGCAGCAGAGAGAGGAAGTTGGGAGATAAAAGTTACCCGTTTTGATTGACAGTATGATTATATGTATAAAGTAAGGCGATTTAGTGTGTTTAGTTGGATATAAAGATAGGGAGATATACTGTATGCTTGCTGTACGTATAGCGGAGATGCAGAAGCAAAGGACAAATGGGATATGGAGAAGGGGGTGAATAAAGTGTACTCTGTATAAATACAGGCCTCAAAACATCTGCTTCTCAACTCCCCTTTCGTTTTTGATGTGGGACAGGCAGAGAAGGAGAGCGGGAGAGAAAACACAAGGAGCCAGCTACCCAGAACATCAAAGCCCCTGCCCTCAACGCGCAGGCCCTCATTAGTTCAGCTAGCAGAACCAACGAGACTTGTGATTGTGTTTGCTGGGGTGCACGCTGGCAGACACTTCAGAGGAAAGGCTCCTTTAAGTCATAGTTCCCCACCCCACCTCTCCTGCCACCACCCGAGCCCGCTGTAACCCCCCTGTAACCCTCTCCTAACTCCCCGCGCACACAAACTCGGCAGTCTCCCCCATCATCCACTCCACCCCATAATCTGGTCTGCAGCTGCAAACATCTGCTCCCCTCTTATTCCTCTGCCTTCACCACTGAGTTGATAAACACATCTATCACTGGACGTGGAAGAGGGAGACAAATGTTGGATTCACCTGTGGGGCTGGTCACATGCATGTCATTTAATAACACTGGGATGTTTTTATGGTGAATGGGTTAAACCCACACCAGGTTCGTTCTATTCCTATATGTAATGCCACTTATAAAACCACATACATGTACAATATCACCTTTGGAAATGCATGAAAAAATAACAAAATCAGTACTCGAGGTCGGTAACCTGCGATGATATTGATTCAGTCAATGTTACCTTCTGTCATCTCATTGTCTGTGTCACAAAGAGGGCTGCTGTCAGGAAGTATCACGTGGCATCCTATTACAGTCAGCCATTTACTTATTCATTCAGATGATTCCTGTTTTAATTATTCAAGCATGTTTTCCTGCGGAAGCTCGGTTACATTTCATATTGGCTTAGATGTTGGTCTCCTGCTGTAACGCCACACAAATAGCATTTACACATGCAATGTCTTGTCAGAAAGGATATTGTGTGTAAAAACTGGACACAATTTGATCTATAAGAACAAATAAATTAAAAAAAAGTTAAGTCTCAAAGCAGGTAGATGCTGATGCTAAAAACAATTATTAACATTTTATAAAAAGACAATTAAATTAAAGTTGTTCTCCAGCAGTGCTCCTGGCTTTTAACAAGTCATCCGGGATGGCAAACGTGAGAGGTGCTCTTGACCATCCAACTATCGCGAGAATACGCATTGTCACAGCCGTTGCTCATCGCGAGACTATCATCCAGTCTCTCTGCCTGATTCCAGCTGGTAGCCTGCCCGCCGTTGACGGGTAAGTGAATGAGATGCGAACGGTGAAAAATCCTCAAAGATGTATCCAAGTAACACAAGTGACCGCAGCGTGCGGGTCGCTGCGTTAACGCCTTGCAGCTCTTCTCGGCGAATTGACCGCCGTTAATCGACGACATCAGGCCGACATGGTGCGCTTGTCGTGACTGTACGAGGGGGCATTACTGCACACAATATGACCCGGGGAATGTTCTTCTTCAGTACTGAAGACGTTCGCTAATATTGTCACTATCTTAACGCACGAGTAACTGTCCTTTTTACGCCATAAATACGTTAGTTGGCTCATTCACATCCATCGCCTGCTGGGGACTGCAGCAGCAGCCGTCTCCCCCTCGCGTTATGACAAATGTGCATGGATGTGCGGCCACTGCAGCTGTTAACAGGCTATGCTAGCAGCTATAGCGTGTGCATTTAATACAAATGAATGGATATGTAAGTTAGCTAATCAGTGATAGCATTAGTTACAAAAAAATGCATCATAAAAAATAAAAGGGGGATCTTCCTGCTTGCCGTGCAGTACAGGCTGTGGATGCATTTTTTTAAATCAAATTTTGGATTATGAATAAGAAAAATGCCCCTCAGGTATAGATATGTTAGCACAAGTTGAGAGCAGAGTTGGCCTGTTAAAGGGGACATAAGACAGGGAAGTAGTCAAAGCCTTTCACCTTTAAAGCTATAGGCTGTGTGCACACCATGCATTCTCACAACCTGAGGTTATGTGTCATTTAATGTGATACGAATTGATTGTTACACTGGAATGAATATTCGATTGCAGCAAACAGTTTAAAAGGTGGTTACTGTGCACCACATGAAAGCTGATCCGCATAACAGAGATCCAGTATGGTTCAGGTCAGCCGCCTGGTGTGAAGTATACTTTTATTGGCTTTCCTCTGAGGTGGCTTCTATCCTTAACGACGTGGTAATGTTCAGAGCTGCTTTTGAAGAGCGTGTTTTTTGTGTGTGTGTGTGTGTGTGTGGTTTTTGACTTGCTATATATGTGGTTCACAGGCTTGTTTTGTTGCTATTTATGGAAAGCGCTCTCATCACTTCCCTCCCTGTGTGTAACAGTTCTGTTGCAGTTGAGGTGAGAGCCACCAGTCATCATGGGGAACATCTTTGGCAACCTGTTGAAGAGCCTGATAGGCAAGAAGGAGATGAGGATTCTCATGGTGGGGCTGGACGCTGCTGGGAAAACCACCATCCTCTACAAGCTGAAGCTGGGGGAGATTGTTACCACCATCCCCACAATCGGTGTGTGAGAAAATACAGAATTACCGATAGCGTTAGGCAACACACTTGTCACTGACTTCCTCCAGCTTGTGTAACTGATTTTGATTTTTCATTCAGGTTTTAATGTAGAGACGGTGGAGTACAAGAACATCAGCTTCACCGTGTGGGATGTGGGTGGCCAGGACAAGATCCGTCCCCTGTGGAGGCACTACTTCCAGAACACCCAGGGTGAGCCAGACCAGCAGCCCCGTTGATGATTCACCTGTCAGCCATGTTGGACTTTACAGTATTGTGGCAGATCCTGCAGCAAATGCTCGCCCCCGGCACCTGAGAGCAGATCTGACTAATGTTTTATATGAGGTCATTTGCAAACAGCCTCCGACTGATTATTATCCTCTTAGTCATGTTGTTGAAAGCCTCTGCAATGAATAAACTTGGTTCAGCAACCAAACCATATTTATCAATATGATATCAGCACATTGTTTAACAGTGGGGTGAAGTTGAGTAGAAGTTTTGTGTGGTTCAACCCTTAAAAAGACATGTATCTCTCCTTGCAGGTTTGATCTTCGTGGTGGACAGCAACGATCGTGAGCGGGTGAACGAAGCTCGGGAGGAACTGATGAGGATGCTGGCTGAGGACGAGCTGCGGGAGGCCGTTCTTCTCGTCTTTGCCAACAAACAGGTATATCCGATCTTGTGTCTCCTCCTTTTCTATTTCATTCTTTCTGCACTTTCCCACCATCCGACACCTCCTGACTGACCGCCTGATGTGATTGTGTTCAGGACTTGCCCAATGCCATGAATGCTGCAGAGCTCACAGACAAGCTGGGCCTGCACTCCCTACGCCACCGCAACTGGTACATTCAGGCCACCTGCGCCACCAGTGGAGACGGTCTCTACGAGGGACTGGACTGGCTGGCCAATCAGCTGAAGAACAAAAAGTGAAGAGTCCGGTCAACAGAGTGGGGAAGAGCCTGGGTGCCAGCTCCAGGTAGTGGTTATCGTAGATCCATTGTGTTTACATGGAGAGGCAGTGCTGAAAAGCTCCCAAGGGGAGACTCTCAATCACTTTCCCCTCCTCCCCCCCAAAACAAAATACTCGTTTCAATTTCCTTTATTTTGAATAATTTGTTTGGATCTGCGGTGAGCGTTTTTAAATATTTACAAACCAATGGTGTCGAAGTTAACCCAAATGACTTACATTCTACATGCAGAATACATACATATTGGGATGTAATAGTATAATGTTACTGTAAAGGCATATGTATTTCCCCTACTTTGCAGTCTCTTTAACCTTTGACCTACATCACCTTTAATTTGTTCAGAAATGTGATGATGTAGACTCACAATGGCTACTTTAAACCTAATGTAAATGATAAAGAATGTCCTAATAGTATAGTGGGAGTACTATTACTATCTCAGAATAATATCACTTTGTTAAAAAAACGTATACTCATACAGGCACAGATAAATGCGAAGTTGTCCTTTTCTGTTCATTCTTCTGTTTTAACACCAAATCATGCGCTTCAGACCTAAAAATGTGCAAAGAATTTTTTTAAATTTATTTTAGATTTAATGAAAATGTGAATTCTACTTATTTTATTAAACACAAAACCAGATGACATACACTTAGTCTTAAACAATTTGTATTTTTGTCAACATGTATTTATTTATTCTTTGGTTTGTTAATTGGTTTTATTTTATTGTTATTTATGTGTATGCATCAAATGGTTCTTTTCCCTTTATTGCAATGTGTATTTACTGCTGAGGCAGCTGGTGAAGAAAGGTGCCCTGTTATCAGTGTATATTACCCCTCTTCCCAATCTGCATGGAGACGTCCCACTCCTGGCTCACGGGCTCGTTCGAGCTGTGAACTACTGCAGGTCGCTGCTGTAAATAAAGATTTGTTCTTCGTCGACTTGCCTGGCTCAATAAGGGTTAAAACATTTTGTCTGGCGCCAGCGAGATGTAACAGCTGAACTGATACAGATGACAGAACAGGGACACTGTACCAGCTCCGTGGCTTTGGAAATAAAATGTGGAGATCGATGCAGCAGAGCATGTGATTGGCAATATCAGAGAGCTGACATGATTTTCGAATGTTCATTCTTTAAGTCAGTTTGTGCGAGCAGCTGCACTATATCCGTCAAAAGAACTCACATTGCTTGTCATCCTGATTTATTCCTCCCTAATTGGCATAATACACGTGTCACTGTGCATTATGTTGCAAAAAATATCCAGATGCATTATAGTTGTACAAAATGTAATGTCTGTTTTTTTCTTGTATTTTTGAATGGAGTATTTATTTATTGTGGACCAAAAGGCAAGTGCTTTTAGTGTTGTTTTTCTTAATTTGCTAACTAGGTCAGTTGTCTTTTTGAGTGTTCACACATATCACACAAAAAATGAAAAAATAGGAGAGTGGATGACAGTAATACTGCATCATAAGGCATGTTAATACTGTACAAGATCTGTAATAAAAGTGAATTATAATAGCCTGTTTCCTCAGACTATATTTGTCAGTTCAAATTACTGCTGCTGGTTGGAACAATGCTGTAATAATAAATGTTTACCGAAAAACCTTCTAATATGCAAAAGCATGCTTTTCTATGTGGGCGCAGCTGTATATATGTTTACGTAACAAGAAAAGTACCGTGTTATTCGCGATCAAATTGTAAGTGTTGTTGATACACCTGTAGATATTGGGGTCAGTGTGGTGGCAGACATGTAGAACTGACAGCAGCTTGTGTGTGTGATGTGCCCTCTATTGCGTTGTTTTTGTGGCCTTATATTGCCAGTGGTTTGTTTCTCTTTGATAACAGGTTTGTATATCGGGATGTCCAACATTCAAGTATCTCACCGATGATCTCTAACACCGATGCACTCACAGTACCGTTGTGGCTGAACATCCTTCATTCAGTGACTATTGGCAGATTAACTTGAAAAATGTAGAAAAGCAAGACTGCAGAACATTCCAACGGGTAAAGTTTATTTAAAAAAGAAACAATCTGAACGTAGATTTATTTAATTTAGTGGGATATTATCAAGAGGAGAAAAATAAAAACAACACAAACTGGTGCAAAAGTCTTGAATGATTTGATGATTCATGACACTTTGTCGAACGATCAATAAAAACACCAAAACTAATTTACTTTGCCATTCTCGTTTTTATCATGTGTTGTGTTATCATACATGTTTGATTGAACTCCTCAGTTGATACCTTATAAGATGGTGCTTATTTATCTGTTTGTTATGTTATCTGTCTTTCCCCTACTTTGATCTATATCGTTTGTGCCTGCACAAAAAAATGCATTAACTAGTTTAAGATTCTTACACACATATATCTCATTGAAAACCCCAGAATCTATTGATTTAAAATGAATTGTTTGATTAACTTGCTCAAGATGCTGACGTCAGGATTCATTTTTAACTCAGCAATTGTTTATCGTACCAGTTCCCAACTAAGAAAAATGCCAGATTACTTAACAGCACATATGACGAGCTTGATTATTGAAAATGAGCAGGTGAATTAGGTGGGAAGGACACAGATCTACGTCGTCTTTCTCTTTTGGCCTTTCCTAACTGCTGCCCTCAAGAGAAGTTTGGCACAATCAGGTAGTTTGGAATTGTAGCACTCCGCAGAGAGTCATTTTGTCTGGGCCAATCAGAGGTCCGTGTAGGGGAGAGTGCCGCTGTGTCTCCAGGGGTGTGACAGCAGTATGTGGGTCAGAGCTGCTCCCGGGGCCACCAGCCCCCATGGCCCCCTGCAGGTCTGCCACAATAGTAGCCCCAGGGCGGATGCCATAGCTGGGATTCCCACCCGTAACCGGGACGCCTTCACCCAGGGCACAGACACACTGGCAGCAGCCCCACAATCAATTCATCAATCCCTGAAGGGAGTGGCAACTGCAAAAGGCCACAGCAGTCACCCCCACAGCTCGCCTTGGAAGGGACAGGGCCACCAAGGCTGACACCATGTTGGCAATGTGAAACTGTCGGACTCTGCAGGAACCATTAGTCCTTTATTAAAGCCACTTTTCTTGACCTGACGGTAGAGACACCCAACTGAGAATGTGAGAATACTCACCAAACACTGTGATATTTTCCCTTTATACTGTTTTACTAAGCAAGATAGACAAAATCCACACTGATTGTTGTTTATGCTAACTGACTCAGGTTGTATAAAAAACTTTCAACTTACTGAGTATTGTTGCTCAATGCTCAATAAGCTTTCCGTCATTCAACAGGCAAGTGGACAGATCTTAGCTGATCCTTTTATCAGAAGAGTTTGTTATAAAACTTTTGGGTCAAAGAATAATCATATAAAACAACCATGTAGGTGCAAACACTGGCTGAGAGTTCACCTCCCACAGGCCCTACAGAAGCTCTGGTGTCTGAGCACCAATCCTTAGACTCTGTCTCCTCCTGCTGGACGGGGAGGACAGTTATGAGTTCATCTTAATAGTGCAGGCTGATACGAGGATAATTAATGTGTACTTGGACCATGCTATGATTGAGTAGTCTCACTATTATTCAAATTCCCACATGGGGATACTTCCAAACAAACAGCAACTATTCCGCTCTCTCGCATACAAAAAATTAGTAACAGGACATGTGTCGAGTCACTGATATTTATCTATTAAGACGTTCCCCTTTCACTCGCAGTTTCATGTTTAGGAATCTTGTCTGCTCTGAGGCCATTTTCTCAAATTAAGCTTGTTCTTATTTTGGGTTCAGAAGTCACTTGACCATCTGACAATGTGCCCCATTGTGACAGGCCGCTCCATACGCATCAAAGAGGTGATTAACCAGTTTAGGGCTGTGGGGACAATACTGCTCTTTACAGGGAAGACAGTGCAGCCACTCAGCACTGGGCTGCTGACTGGGAGCCACAGTACTGCTTCCTCATGCAGCAGCTGGCAACATGAAACCAAAATAACTGCACATGAAGGGACATATATAGGGTACATGGTGTTAGCACTGGTGCACATGGAAAAGGTTTGGATAACAAACATTTGCTTATCAAAAAGTTACTTTTTTGAATCAATTCACACACAAACATAGTCAACTTGACATACTAAAGGTAAAAGTACATTCATTTAAATGTTATTCAGCTTTATCTACATGCGCCTGATGTGTTTTTAAATAAAATATATAATCTATCAGGATTTTACCCGTTTGGATGCGCAGGGCAACAATTGAGGCAGCAGCTCGTGAAAAAAAAAAAATGACGGACCAACCTCTGATTGGTGAATATATCGGGCTCCTGGCCAATCACATGTCTCTGTCTGGGAGGGGAAGCCCGGCGTCAAAATGAACTGCCACTTGTTCGTTGTTGTTGTTAGTTTTGCAATTGGCGCGATTTCTCTGCTCTCATTAGTAATGTTTAGTGCAAAGTCTTACAGAAGGAGCTGCATTTCTCCTTCACTTTGACTATTTTTTGTCTCGTCTATCAGAGACAGAGCGTGAGACCTAAAGATTATTTTTTATCCATACTGCATATCCAGGACTACCTAAACCTGTGTGATATGATCATATCTCACTAAATAGATTCGACATCAACATGATCAGGTGGGGAGTCATATTACTGAGTGTGACTTTATCATGGTGGCTACAAACAGCATCATCGCAAACCCACGAAGGTAAGAGGATTTTATTATATATATGAAACCTTGTCTTGCCTGTTTTAATTGACATTATTTCATCAATTAATTATTATTATTATTATTATATAAAATGTTCCTGCTTGAATTCACCTGTTGGCAGTTACTCCTTAGCATTTGCTTGCCTTGAATTGTCACAGTTTCTAACATGTATGCAACTATATTTTGATGGAATAGAATAGGATGTAATACAATGATAGAATATAATAGAGTAACTAACATGGATACCATATAGACTTGTCAGAGGTTAAGGGGCTACATTTTATAAACTATTAACCCTCATCTCTTCTTTCCTTTGTGCTCTCCTCCTTGAGAGCTTTTTTACTGTTGTTACTGGGCTTTAATTAAGACCCTTAATGCAGCAATACATCGCCACTTTATATTCTGCTCGTGATGGCTGCCAGCAACATCAATGCCCTCGTGGAGACAAAATAGCTTGCATGGCAATGATCCCAGTTGTAAAAAGCTACTGAGAACAATTGGTCCTGTTGATGTTGATACATGCAATCTGCAGATGATTGTTTTGTTTAACTGAAAATCACAAATTTTAGCTGTGTTGTGCATGCTTTATGCATGATTGAGTTTCAATTGCTGTAATAGTAAGAATTATCATGCAACTCTCCAAGATAGGCTGAGCATTCCATTTTTATTCTATGTTTTCACGAAGATATGGGATACGCTACATCTGTCAACATGCAATTTTCCACAAAAACCCCACGCAACAAGCTTAAAAGGTTTGTGTATAGAAGGGATCAACTTCACTTTAGTGTAGCTGGAAGATTTTGGTTTATACCTCTGCATGTTCCCAATAAAGACAGGATATGTGGGTTGTGTTGACAGCTGCAGGTGTTTTGTCTTTGCACATAAAGGGCCAGCTCCACATTTTTTGTCGGTCAGTACGAAATAGTGTGCAATCCTCCTTACGTTCATGATATTTCCCTTCCCTCTGCCAGAAAGTCCTACTCACACAAGGCCCATTGTCTGCTGGTATGATCTCAGCAACGCAGACCCCTCAGACACTCACATACATACGCACATGCACACACACAGGAGCACTGTCTGTCACTGCATCACTCTTCAGTCACTGGGACACACAGTCCACATTTATAGCTTTGTCACAATGAGGAACGTTGTCTGAGAAAAGTCCCTCTCCCTCAACTTCCACTCAATCAGCCGCAGGCCTGGACTGCTCCATGTACCAGGGTTACAGCCTGTCTGTATTACTGTGCTTTGCATCAAACTCTCCAGCCAAAACAGCAGCACACGCAGTATGAAGAAGACCAAGCCCATAAGTACTGCACAATATAACCCTCTCACTCAAATATGCTATTTGTTTTCAAGCATTCCAAGCTGCCATTGGTTTCCATACATTTCTGTATGGTATCAAAATAAATCAGCAGACAGCAACTCTTAAAACTTGCTTGAATTGTGTAATGCATCACAGACTGCATTCATCTTTGTCAAAATCACATAATTGTTGGACTGTAATACAGCACATTATGTTGCAATGATAACTCTGGCAAAACATGATACAGACTTGATGTTCACTGCGGTGGATTACACAACTCAAAAAGGTTTCTAGAGTCTGCTAATTGATGTTCAAGAGTTACAGAAATTAACAGAAACCAGACAGCAAAATTCATTAAAAAAACACAGTGTTTGCATAGTTTGCAAATGATTTAAATGTGATGTTAAGTACATGTGATCTTGCAACGCATTCTGCCTGGATGTGTATAAGCTAAGCGTACACAAATGGTCTAAAATATATAGCAAGTAAAGTGATACATTGACCCAAGGTTCTCTTCACCAGTCCCTAAATCACCCTTTAAACTAAGTAGAGTAATATTTGTCTCTCTTCTCTGTATGTTTGTCAGTGGTGTGTCCTGGTACGCAGAACGGACTGAGCTCCACAGGTTCTCAGGAGATTCAGTACAACCTGATTAAGGACCGTTATGACGGCTGTGAGATCATCATGGGAAACCTGGAGATCACTCAAATTGAGAGTTGCTGGGACTTCTCCTTTCTCAAGGTAAAAAATCCCAAAATCCCAAATGCCTTGTCTTTCAACTGATTTCTGAGTACGAGGTGTAGAAGTGTGGTCCTCTTCTTTCCCTCCAGGCAATCCGCGAGGTGACTGGCTATGTCCTCATTGCCATGAACCACTTTCAGGAGATCCCTCTGGGGCAACTACGGGTCATCAGAGGAAACAGCCTTTATGAGAGACGCTTTGCTCTCTCTGTCTTAATCAACTACCCCAAAGACGGCTCCAACGGTCTGCGGCAGCTGGGCCTCGCAAATCTGACAGGTAAAGAGGGTTACCCGAGAACACAGAACGATTTCTTATATGCAAGGTGTGAATCGGGCATTTAAGATTTGCTGTGCTGTTCTTCTATATGTAAACTTCTTTAAGTTTTGTCCAAAGAAACATAAGATGTGTCATTTTATGTGCAGAGAAACATAGATGTTGCTATTATAGCTGACAAT